GGTTCTACAGAAATAAAAAGACTGTAGGAGGGCATCATGAAAAACCGCACACAAAGTGTACAACCCAGATGAAATAAAGTCTCCCAGACACACTAAACATACCAAGGCTAACTCACGAAGAAGTTAGAATCTGAGTAGACCTGTAACTGGTGCGGTGATTTAATCATTACTCAAAATTCTGATTCAGAAAAGCCCCTACAGGCCGGGCGTGGTGGCTCACACCTATGATCCCACCACTTTGGGAGGCTGAGGCAGGCAGACAACCTGAGGTCAGGAGTTTGAAACCAGCCTGGCCAGCATGGTGAAACCGAGTCTGTACTAAAAATACAAAAAAATAAAACCACAAACAAACAAACAAACAAACAAAACAGGCGTGGTGGCGCACATCTGTAGTCCCAGCTACTTGGAAGGCTGAGGCAAGAGAACTGGTTGAACCTGGAAGGTGGAGGCTGCAGTGGGCTGTCGTGCCACTGTACTCTGGCCTGGGTGACAGAGTGAGACCTCATCTCAAAAAAAAAAAAAAGAAAGAAAAAAAAGGAAATAAAAGCCTTGGACCTGATGGCTTCACTAGTGAATTCTAACCACATGTTTAAAGATGATCTAATATCAAAAATTCTCAAACATTTCCAAAAAATTTAAGAGGCGGAAATGATTCTTAACTTTTTCTATGAAGATTACATTACTCTGACACCAAAGCCCATCAGCAATATCATGAGGAAACTACAGACTAATATGCCTGTGAACATTAATGTAAAACCAACAAAATACCAACACCCTGAATTTAGCATTATACTGAACGGCTTATACACCATAAATCCAAATGGGATGTACTCCTTGAAGGCAATGGTAGTTCCAAACATTAAAAACTGATCAATGTAATATACCGCATTAATATAACGAAAGGGAAAAAGATCACCTCAATTGATGTGGAAAAAGCATTTGGCAAAATTTACCATCTTTTTAGATAATAAATACAGACAACAAACCTGGAATTTGAAGAAAACTACCACAATATAATAAAAGCCATATATGAAAAAGCCAAAGCAGCTGTCTTACAGAATGCTGCGGGAATGAGCTTTCCCTTCACGATCAGGAATCAGGCAAGGTTGCTCACTTTCACCACCTTCGTTCCACATAGTACTGGAAGTTCTAACCGAGCAATCGGGGAAGAAAATACAATAAAAGCCACCCAAAGTGGAAAGAAGTAAAACGATCTGTTTGCAGAGGGTATGGTCTGATACACAGGGAATCCTGAAGATGACAGACATCGACAGACAAAATGTGTTGGGAGTAATAAATGTATTCAGCATAGTAGCAGGGTACAATGTCAACATGCAGAACCAGCGGCATTTCTATTTACTGTCAATGAACAATCTAAAAAAGCTTTTACAAAAATAATTCTACTTACAATGGCATCTTGGTCAGAGGCGGTGGCTCACGTCTGTAGTCCCAGCACTTTGGGAGGCCAAGGTGGGTGATCACTTGAGGTCAGGAGTGTGAAGCCAGCCTGGACAGCATGATGAAACCCCGTCTCTACTAAGAATACAAAAAAATTAGCCGGGCATGGTGATGGGCGCCTGTAATCTCAGCTACTAGGGAGGCTGAGGCAGGAGAATTGCTTGAACCTGGGAGGCGGAGATTGCAGTGAGCTGAGATTGTGCCACTGCACTCCAGCCTGCATGACAGAGTAAGACTTCATCTAAAAAAATAAAAATAAAAATAGAATAAAATAGTAAGTAACTTAACCAAGGAGGTAACAGAACTGTGCAATAAAAGTCTACAAAATGTTGGTGAAAAAAATTAAAGAAACCATAAATAAATGAAAACACATTCCATGTTGACAGATTAGAAGATATTGTTACAAATGTCAACACTGCCCATATAAAATCTACAGATTCAATGCAATCAATTTTGATAAATTCAACACAGTATTAAATATTCTATCAAAAGATTTTAATAGGGAATCCATATCAAAATCCCAGGGACATTGTTTTTGCAGAAAAAGAAAACCCCATTTAAAAATTTATATTGAACCTGGAAGAACCCCAAATAGTCCAAATAATTTTTTCTTTGAGACAGTCTCACACTGTCGCCCAGGCTGCAGCGCAGTGGCGCGATCTCAGCCCACTGCAATCCCCACCTCCTGGGTTCAAGCAATTCTCCTGCCTCAGCCTCCTGAGTAGCTGGGACTATAGGTGTGCGCCACCACACCCAGCTATTTTTTTTGTTTGTTTTTAAAAGAGACGAGATTTCACTATGTTGGCCAGATGGTCTCGATCTCCTGACCTCATGATTCGCCCGCCCCAGCCTCCCAAAGTGCTGGGATTATAGGCGTGAGCCACGGCTCCCGGGAGCTGAGGCAGGAGAATCACTTGAACCCAGGAGGCAGAGGTTGCGGTGAGCTGAGATCACGCCATTGCACTCCAGCCTGGACGACAGGGCGAGACGCCGCCTCCAAATAAAAAAGAAGAAAATAATCGGACTCGAAAATAAACGCAACCTACTTGGTTCTCAGAAGGGGAGAAGGAACCAGGCGAATGGCGTCCGTTCTCCCTCGATCGCCCCGGAGATGCCGCGCAGGCCGCGAGCTCCTGAGCGGCGGTTTCAGAACCCGCGGGTCACCTGGGAGCTTCTCCCGCAAAACCAGACGAAAGCTCCCGGCGTGGAGAAGGGCAGGCGGCTGCACCCCTCGACCTCGCCCCGCCCGGGCGGGCGCGCTCGGCGCCACGCAGGGACCACCCCTCCGAGACGCCCGCCGGACCCCGCGCCCAGAGCCACCTGCGTGCACCTGCGCCCCGCGGGCACCTGAGCGCGCGGTCACGCCCCTGGCCACGCCCCCGGCCGGCGGGCCGCCCTCACTGTGCCCCGCCCCCTCGCTGTTCGGCCTCAAGCCCCGCCCCTCAAACCCCGCCCTACGGCCCAGATCAGGCTCCGCCCTATCAGTCCTCCCCGCCCCCTCACAGGTCCCGCCCACACCCCGCCCCATTCGACTCGGGCCCCGCCCATTAGGGCCTCGCCCCCAGGCCCCGCCCTGTCAGGCCTCGCCCCTCACAGGGCCCGCCCACACCCCGCCCCATTCGACTCGGGCCCCGCCCATTAGGGCCTCGCCCCCAGGCCCCGCCCACGGAGCCCGCCGGGTCCCGGCCCAGCCCGGTCCAGCTCGCAGCCCGCGGCAGATGGAGCAGGAGGCGCGGGTGCTGAGGGCTGCGGGTGGCTTCGGCCGGGCCCGGCGCCTGCTGGCCGCCGCCTCGTGGGTGCCCTGCGTGGTGCTGGGGCTGGCGCTGAGCTCCGAGGCGCTGCTCACCGCGCAGCCCGCGCACCACTGCCGGCCGGACCCCGCGCTGCTGCCCCCCGCGCTGCGCGCTCTGCGCGGGCCGGAGCTGCTCGACGCCGCCATCCCGCGCCTGGGACCCACGCGCGTCCAGAGCCCCTGCCTGCTCCTGCGCTACCCCGAGCCCGTGCCCGGCGCCCGCCGTGGCCCTGGCCCTGCGCCCGCGCCCAACGGCACGCGCCCCTGCACTCGCGGCTGGCTCTACGCGCTGCCCGCCGCGGGCCTCCTGCGCAGCCCTGTCACCCAGGTGCGCCCCTTCCCCGCCGCCCGGCGGCCCGCCCCGCCCGCAGCCTGCCGGGGCCCTGGGTGTCCTTCCCCGCCCTCCCTGGCGCCTCTGTCCGGGGCCACCCGCCGGTCCTCCTGCGCTCCCCGCTTGGGGGCGGCCCCCGGCCGGACGGTGCGGTAGACGCGCGCCCAGGGCCAGGCCTGCGGAGACGCTGCTCCCACCGGCGCGGGGTGGCCTGGGGCGCAGGAGGATTGGAGCTGAAGGCCGGGGGAGCAGGGCCTAGAATTTGCTTCACGACCACCAGCGTCTTGAGCAGACCGTGGCTTTGGGCTGGCTTCCCAGGGAGAGTCTCTGATTGGAGAGACTGGCGTGGTCAGCACAGATTGGGAACGGTGGGCTTGCCACCGGTGGAGCGTGGCGCGCGGAGGCTGGGCTGGAGACAGCATTGCCTGAAGGGGAACCTTGACGGTCTGCGTGAGAAAAGATGGGGAGGCAGCGGCACGGACCCCCAGGCCCCTCTCTTCCTTCCCACTCCTGCGGCAGCCTTTACCCCGCGGCCTCCACCTCCCACTCTGGGAGGATTGGCCCCAGCGTGGAAACTGGTTCTGGGTTGCCACATCTCCGCAAGGGCCTGCCTGGGGCCCTGGAACCCGCTCGGCTTCTCTCTCCACCCCCACTCCCACCTGCCCTCCTGTCTGGGGCCCGGCTCCACAAAACGTCAGGTTTGAAAGTAAAATCGCGGGCATAGCATGTTCCCTAGCAGTAGATTAAGCTTGGCAAGAAGAGCGAGGAACTGGAAAGGGGGCGGGGGGCGCAGAGCTGAGGTCAAGAGTCAAGGGCCTCACCGGGAAATGCCGCTGAGCACAGCTCTCCAGCCGCTGCCTGAGTCCCTCTTGAAATGGGCAGGGCAGGACGGGGGCGGGTGCCGCGGCTCATTTCTTAGGCCTGTGTCATGGCTATGGCCCTTGGCTGGGTGGGGTGTGTCTACGACGCCACCGAGGTCGTGAGTGTCCCTGGGGTCCCTCGGAATAGGAGGTAGAAACAGGTGGGACAAGATTTGGCTTCGGAGAGCAATGGTGTGCAGAGGTGGGGGAGGCCCCTTCTAGAGACAAGCAGAAAACAAGGGGGCCAGGTCCCCCAACCCCTCTGCGGGGACTGCCGGAGTCCCAAGAGGCTGCTGTGTGATCTGGACCAAGCCACCTTGCCCTCTCATGCCTCAGTTTCCCCTTCAGGGAGGGATTGAGCAGGCCGTGTAGGGCGCTTTCGGGCGGCCGTTCTGGGACTCCCTGCACCTGTCCCCAGTGAGGAGGCAGGGGAGGGTCCTGAGCTGGCCTCCACGTGTCTGCTGTTCCCACAGTGGAACCTCGTGTGCGGAGACAGCTGGAAGGTCCCGCTGGAGCAGCTAAGCCACCTCCTGGGCTGGCTGCTAGGCTGTGTCATCCTGGGAGCAGGATGTGACCGGTGAGGCCCCTTCCCCTTCCCTGCTGCCCAGCAGCCCTCCGCGCCCGTGGCCCACTGCTCTCAGGGTTCAGCTAGACCTGGTGCTGCCAGGATTAAGTGGACCCTGGATTACCCTGACCCTGTCCTAGCATGTCCCCCGCTATCCCCAGGTTTGGCCGCCGGGCAGTTTTTGTGGCCTCCCTGGTGCTGTCCACGGGCCTTGGGGCCGGTGAGGCCCTGGTGACCAGCTTCCCTACCCTACTGATCCTGCGCCTAGTCCATGGGGGGACGTTGGCAGGGGCCCTGCTCGCCCTGTACCTGGCTCGTGAGTACCATGGGGGCTGCTGTCACTGGGGGAGGGGCAGTGGGTGGCCCGAAGGCCTCTGAGGCTCGGTTGCCAAAAGCCCCGAGCTGCAGGGGTGGGGAGTCCAGCTCGGGCATCCCACTCCCGGGCAGGTCAGCACTAGGTCCCTGCAGTCCCCAGTGGGACTGTTCCAGCCCTCCCTGAGGCCTCCACCTCAGCCCGTCTCTATCTGCCCAGGCTTGGAGCTGTGCGACCCTCCGCACCGCCTGGCCTTCTCCGTGGGGGCCGGCCTTTTCTCTGTGGTGGGCACCCTGCTGCTGCCTGGCCTGGCTGCGCTTGTGCAGGACTGGCGCCTTCTCCAGGGGCTGGGCGCCCTGATGAGCGGGCTCTTGCTGCTCTTTTGGGGGTAAGTATGATAGGCGCTGGGCCAGCAGACCCCGTGGGGGCTGAGTGTCACAAAGAGCCACTCAGCCGAAGGGAGGAGTGGGGGGCCTGGCCTCTGCCTCTCCGTCCTGGAGGAGGTGGAGGGAGCCTTGGGTATCCTCACCAACCCTGCAGGTTCCCAGCCCTGTTCCCCGAGTCTCCCTGTTGGCTGCTGGCCACAGGGCAGGTAGCCCGAGCCAGGAACATCCTGTGGCACTTTGCAGAAGCCAGCGGTGTGGACCCCGAGGACAGTTCCTTGGAAGAGAACTCCCTGGCTACAGGTCAGGCACCAGGCAGGGAGGAGGGAGATTCAGGTACTGGAGGAGGGCTCCAGAGAGGCACTGCCTGCTCTTCACCCCCCTCTGCCCCCACATCTCTGCTGCTACAGAGCTGGCCATGCTGTCTGCAGGGAGCCCCCGGCCCCGATACCACTCCCCCCTGGGGCTCCTGCACACCCAGGTCACCTGGAGAAATGGGCTTATCTTGAGCTTCATTTCGTGAGTAGAGGAAGGGCTTAGGTCCTGTACCTTCCCCGCGGGGTGGGTGTGTGGTCCCCAGAGTCCTGGCTCTGGCTGGGCCCATAGCTTTGTTCTCTCTCCCAGACTGGTTGGTGGGGGCATAAGAGCCAGCTTCCTTCGCAGCCTGGCCCCTCAGGTGCTGACCTTCTACCTGCCCTACTTCCTGGAGGCCTGCCTGGAGGCAGCAGCCTTGGTCTTCCTGCTCCTGACGGCAGATCGCTGGGGACGCCGCCTCGTCCTGCTGCTGGGCACCATGGCAACAGGCCTGGCATCCCTGCTGCTCCTCGCTGGGGCCCAGTGTGAGCTTGGGGCCCCACAGGCCATATAGGGGCCATGGTCTTTGGGCTGAAGGTCTGCCCCATCAGGGGGCCGTGGTGCAGATAGAGGGAGCAGCATGGTTTTCCTCTGATCCTTTTGGAAGGCCCAAAAGGCTCTTCTGAGACTGGCCCAAAGTAAGGAACCAGGAACCTGTCTGAGCCTAAAACACCTAGCTGGGCACGGTGGCTCACGCCTGTAATCCCAGCACTTTGGGAGGCCAAGGCTTGTGGATCACCTGAGGTCAAGAGTTCAAGACCAACCTAACCAACATGGAGAAGCCCTGTCTCTACTAAAAATACAAAAAATTAGCTGGATGTGGTGGCGGATGCCTGTAATCCCAGCTACGTGGGAGGCTGAGACTGGAGAATCACTTGAACCCTGGAGGCAGAGGCTGTAGTGGGCTGAAATCACACCACTGCACTCCAGCCTGGGCAACGAGTGAAATTCCATCTCAGAAAAAGCTGTCCCCAACCACAGAATGCAGCACAGGTGTGAGAGGTCAAGAGGCCAGGCTGGGTAGGCTCTGCCCAGAGTTCAGCTGGCCCCGGGTTGGCGTGGGAGGGCCCATCTACTCAGGGCTGGTCACATGGTGTGTGGGGCTGGGTCCCAAATGAGATACATGCCTTGCTTCCAAAGTATTCAAGATTTTAGGACGGTTCTCAAAATTGCAAAGACGGTGGACAGCATGCAGTAGCTGAGCACGGGCCCCGGGGGGAGGTGGCTGGCGTGGCTGTGGCTCCGGGTTAGGATTCTATCATCCTGAGAATCCAAGCCAGGCTGGAATCAGGCAGCAGAGGACAGAACCTGCCCTGCCAGGTTCTGCAGAGGGGCTGGAGGTGGAGGCCTGGGAAATAGGTGCCCAGACGGCGGTGTGGTTCTCTGGGGAGAGGCTCTGTGTGGCCAGGATGGAAGGCCTGGGAACCCCTGTTCTTGTCTCCAGATCTGCCGGGCTGGACCGTGCTGTCCGTCTCTGTCCTGGGGCTCCTGGCCTCCCGGGTTGTGTCTGCACTCAGCGGCCTCTTTGCAGCTGAGGTGTTCCCTACAGTGATCAGGTGAGCTACAGGGTGACCCAGCCACACAGCAGGACCCAGGGCCCCTCATGGGGAGGAGGGGCCAGGTGGAAGGAGGGCCAGTGCCCACACCCTGCCCTGCTGCATTTCCTCTGTCCAGTAAGCACTCAAGTGCTGCCCTGCTCCTGGGTGGCGGACGCCCCTGCTCACAGGAGGCTCTGGGCAGAGGCCTCAGGAACTGGGAAGGGGAGGGGAGGCCGTGCAGGCCTGAGCGGGGTGGTGGGGGACAAGGGGCAGGGCAGAGATGAGGAAGCCTCCAGAGATGGCAGAATTTCAGAGGAACCATCACTTCCAAGCTTTGAATGAACAGAGCACAAAGTGCTGCTCCAGGACAAGAAGGAAGGAGGTTTTTCCAAAGCAAGTTTGAAAGTTATCCTTAGCCAGCAAACCTTGGGCTCTGCTTCGGCCAGCCCTCCTGCCACTCCCTCCGCAGTCACGTGTGTCCCCATGTCTGATGCCCCACAGCTGCCCCACCAGCTGTCCCCAACATACTCTCTCCCACAGAGGGGCCGGGCTGGGCCTGGTGCTAGGGGCCGGGTTCCTGGGCCAGGCGGCCGACCCCCTGGATGCCGTGCAGGGCCGGAGGGGCTTCTTCCTCCAACATGTGGTCTTCACCTCCCTCGCTGTCCTTACCCTGCTGTGCGTCCTGCTGTTGCCGGAGAGCCGAAGCCGGGGCCTGCCCCAGTCACTGCAGGATGCCGACCGTCTACGCCGCTCCCCACTCCTGCGGGGCTGCTCCCGCCAGGACCACCTGCCCCTGCTGTCGCCCTCTGATGCCTGCCGGGCCGGCAACACCCTCGAGCGGCACTAGTCCTGCCTGCTGGCCCCAGGAGCCAGGAGGGACCGAGGTCAAGGCCTGCGGCATGGCTGAGTACCCTAGACACCTGGTCCAGGGGAGACACGTACCCCTCAGAAGCCCGTGTCTCAGTGCAGGCGGAGCCGTGGGAACAGCTTGAACTTGTCCCCAGCCGAGCCCTGGGCCCTGGGAGTCCGTGAGTCTCCTCCCTGATCAAACCCAGCAGGTGCGGAGGATAAAGGCTTCTGTGGAACTTGGCGTCCTCCCTGGTTCTTCCCTCAGGCCACACCTGGGGCCTGGAGGGGCCTCACCTGTGCCCACTCCCCACCTCTGGGCCTCGCCAGCGTATCAGCAGTCGCTCCACAGCCCCTCTCCAGGTAGGGGCAGTCCCCAGCCACCCCCTGCTCCAGCCAAGCAGGGTGGGATGGGGGCCTGGCCCTTATTCCCCTCACGGTCAGTGTGGCACTGGGTGCCCATCCCCCATGAGACACACTAGTACGTTTTTCATTCAGATTTACCCAGGAGGCTGCCGTCTTTCATACAAAGTTGAAGTCCACTGGTGGGAGGCGACCCCCATGGGGCTGATGGAGAGAAGCTCTCCACCCCGGCAGAAAGGAGCCTCTTCCTGGCTGCCCCCTCCACACTTGGGTTCTGCCCAAGACTTGGATCCTCCCCTCCAGGAAGGAGGCTGCCCCAGGCCCTTGGGGTCAGGCCCAGTGACCTCAGGCTGCCTCTGCAGGGGCCATCACTGCCAGGTGGCCTGGGAGTGATGTGTCCAGTTGCGCCCCAGGGTCAGGCTGTCCACCCTCTGTGTCTGGGTGGAGGTGCCCCTGGAGAAAGACTGTCCCTGGCCCGGTGGTCCCATCTGGTTCCTGGCTCCAACCCTCACGGGTGCCCATACATGTCTGCCAGCCGGGCGAAGCGGGGCCCCCAGTCACTGAGGTAGTCGTAGTCCTGATCCTCATCGCCCTGGCTGGACAGGATGGAGCTCAGCGTCCCCGCCACGGAGCCCTCGCCCTCGTAGTCATAGATGAGGGCTGTGTCATAAGGTGGCACGCTGGGGTCACTGTCTGCAGCCTCCAAGCCCTGCAAAGAGGCCGAGAGAGGTCAGGACACACACAGCGGCCAGCAGGTGCCCCCCCGCCCCCCATGGCCACAGCCCAGGGCAAAGCCAGCTCCAGGCATGGTCTCAGGAAAGGGAAGCTGCCCACGTCCGGGGTGAGGTCTTCGGAGAGGCACAGCTTCCTGAGGGCACAGCAGAGGGCGTGAAGAGGGTGCAGTGGGTCATCCCCTTCCTCAGGATTAGGCCAGTGGCCAGCCGGTCCCCCAGGGCTCTGCCTGCCCCAGCAGGTGGAAAGGGGTTGCTCCCATCACCCTGGTCTCCTCGTCCTGGCGGCCCCTGTCCACTGACACCAGAACCCGAGCCTCCCGGACACTCCCACTGCAGGACAGCCCTCCTGCCTTTCTGAGGCTCTGCACCTCTGTCCTCTCAGCTCCTCGGGATACACACTCACCTACCCAGGGGTGCACACCTTTGCTGGGGTGCTTTCTCTTAGCCAGGTGCTACAGGTGCAGGCAGGCACAGGGGAGGGGGTTCCCTGCGCACCCCCACCCCAGATTTCCCATGTTTGTATCCACCCTGTGGATGGCAGGGAATTGTTAACGCTGTGTCCAGAGGGTCTCCTGGGGAGGCCTTAATTCTGCTGAGAGTCACCAAAGCCCGGTGGATCCTCCTGGGGCTCCCCCTCCCCCTCCACGGTGGGTATGGGGCAGTGGATAGGTCTGTGGCCACGCCATCCATCCATGCAAAGACCTGCGTCGTGGGTGGAGGCTGATGGCCCAGTTCAGACGGTGGCAGGGCGGCTTCTGCAACCCCACCCGCGCTCCATCTTCCTCTGCGGTGCCCTTGGAAAGCTCGTGTACAGTGCATACACGCTGGTCCTTACATGTAGTGGCAGGTGTGTAAATGTGCACGTATGTGTGTGCCTACATGTGTGCACCTTTGTGTGCCTGTGTGTGCTGGGGTGTTCCCAGGAGCACCTACATCACTGATGAAGTCAGCGATGTCCAGGGGGCTGGTGGGCAGAGCTCGGAGCGGCTTGGGGTGCAGGCGGCCCTGTGGGGCATCTCTGCGAAGTGGCGGCGGCCCCAGAGGCAGGCTCAGTGCTGTCGGGTGACGCAGCTGGCTGATGTCGTAGGCATCCTGTGGGCGAGGACGTGAAACAGAGCTGAGCATCCCGCGGTGGCTCCTGGCCAACTTGCTGTATGAAGGCCCGAAGCCTGTTCCCTGGAGACCCCCGCTACCCACACCTTCCCCCTCACCTGGTCTTCTTCCCCGCCTCCCTGCTCATCGTAATTGAGGACGTTGTCTCGAAGGTCTTCCTGGGGGCTCCCCAGAAGCCCCTTGCCCCGAGACTGCTGCTGGAACCGTGCCCGGAGCGCCACAAGCAGGACTAGCACTGGGGAATGAGGGGGACGCAGGCGGGGGCCAGACACAGAGCGCGACATCAGGGGGAGGGCTGCGAAGGAGGTGGGAGGAGGGGGCGGGGGCGGGTGTGCGTGGAAGGGGCGGGCTGGGCAAGACAATGGGGCCCGCGAGCAGGGGGCGGAGCTTGGGAAAGGGGCGTGGCTGGTGAAATGGGTCAGGGTTGGGAAGGAGGGGCGCGGTTGGGGAGAAGGGGGCGTGACTGGTAATGAGGAGTGGGTCGGGAGGGGTGGGGAACTTGGGCTGAACAAGCGTGGCTGGTAATAGGGGGAGTGACTGGGAATGAGAAAGCGGGCTTAGGGAGGGGACGGCGGAGCTGGGGAGGAAAGGGTGTGTCTGGTCATGGGGGCGTGGCTGGTAATGAGGCGGTGAAGCCGGGAAGGGGCGTGGCTGGTAATGGAGGGCGGGGTTATGGAGGAGGAGGTGGAGCCGGGGAGGAAGGGGCGTGTCTGGTCATGGGGATGTGTCTAGTAATGAGGGGGCGGGGTTAGGGAGGGGCGGTGGAGCTGGGG